ATTCTTTTCGAGAAACGAATTAGCTTCTTGTGCTCCCTTTGTGTGCAGTGGTAGTGTTCCCAGTTTATCTCATCATTTATTTCTAGATCCCGATTTAAAACTCCTGAATTGGATTTTTTTTTCCAACAGGGAATTGCAGTGCAGCTAAACGGGGGATAAGACGGACAAGTTTTATCAAAACTGACACAAATGGAAACCGTTACATTAATCACCGCCTCAACAAAGCCCCATGTGGTGCAACAGGCGAGCTCTAAAAAAAAGCCATCCCTTTAAATTTCGTTTTTTCACGGTGCATCACCAAGTTGAAAATGCAATATACCTGTGGTCTGGGAGTGAATTCTCACTAAGAACTCTTCAGTTTAGAATTGAAAACTTCACCCGGTAGTTAGATAGATCACTTGCCTTGCCTTTGTAGGAACACAGGTGGCTTTGATACCCATCTCTAGAATGATAAGCCCACAAGGAATGATTTACTGCCAGATTTTTTTATGGGCGATAACATCGGAATACAAGATCGAATCAACATTTTGAAAAGTTTCTCGTTTACCGTGGTAATGAAAGCTGCAAGTTAACGTTATAAATAGTTCGGCGCAATACGAGGTTTTCGCTGGACGTAAGATCTATGCTCACAGAGCTGGCCCTGTCGCAGGTAGTAAGAGGCAAAGTCATCAGATTCAGTTCAGATTTTCACCTCCCATCTGCTAGTTTGGGAGATCCTGCATCTCAAAAGCGGCACCTTCTTTCCATATACGGGTAAGTAGCCTCTATGGTCAATGGTATTGTAATAATCACACTGCTTCCGCCTCGATGACCTCCTTTCATTTCAAAATAAAGCCATACTTCCGCCATCATTGAGTGATGGTTGGCATGTCATTGCAAGCGGGCTTTTCGGCTTCCACTCTGAAGGAGATTGAACAGGCAAAACTACTGACAGATGAATGGCATATAGTCTGAATGTTGTGTTCTTCACGCGTTGCGTTTTACTAGATAAAAATATATCGCATACATATATGCACATTTACATAAGTAATTTTCCTAAAGTTTTCAGCCAAATACAAGAAGAAGCTAAAAACTATTAAAGGCATTTTGATAGGTCATTGCAGGCTAAGAGGCCAAGCGATCTATGTCACTTTTTGACTTCACCGAAGAGACACCATTGCACCTCCTGCTGAGTTTAAGGCCGTTGCACGGAGAAGGGAAAGGTGCATAGCACACTTTTGGTCTAGAGAAGAGCACATAAACTCCTTACGCTGGGATCTATTCTAAACTTTATAGAAGCTTTAGGGCTAGATGCACAGTAGTGATGAGCTGAGGGCACAATAGACCTACTGGTCGTAAACACTACACTTTTTATACCTGTCTATCTATCTATCTAGTAGCTAAATAGGATACACTTGAGGCTGAGATAACTTCTCATGATATAATTTTTCCCCTTTCTAAATTAGCTCGATTTTTTGTTTTGCTGTACCCAGCTTCAAAAACAACTCTTCATTCAACTATTTCAAGTTGAGTTACAACCAAATGTTGGGAGAAAAACATATGCGACTACGTGCCGGCGAAAGCAATATCATTTCGCCTATATTTTTAATTTATTACGCATACAGTGTGGGGTAAATTACTAGCACAAATGTGAAACCACTAGACGAGTTACAGTACTCCAACATATAACGTATGTATGTACATGTGTGGGCGACTATATTTCAAAAAGGTGGGCGCACACAGTCGTATACATACATACATACATATGTATATTTATATATGTACTTGCCATTTTGTACGTGTTATAATTTACGCGGTATTGCTGGATTACATTGCGGTTTGGAAAATACATTTACTTACATATATGTGTACTTTCTTTACACCACAAGAGGTATACTTGTAGGCGGCGCTGAGCTCGTATTTATGGCAAGGCCGCAAAGTAATGCGTTTGTTAGAGGGTGAAATTCGTGCTTTAGCGTAGGCAACTTCATAAACCATCAAGCGACCAAAAAACAAGCAACGTTTAATTAAGAAATATCACCGCATTAAGCTTCCATTCATAGCTACATGTTACCTTTACAAGTACATTTACATAGGTATGTACAGTATCGGTCATATCTATAGCACGCCATTTCAAAGTGATATTGTGTGCCACTTATGTTTATTTATTTATTTTTAAGAATTTTCAATTAAAATACAGTTCTTTATCTAACAAAACCCATATAAATCCAAGTTTAAAACTTATAGAAAACTACAAAAAAGTGCAACAAATTTTCACCTAAATTTCAAACTTTTTTTTCGGAAGTGTTTGAATTTTTCTGAATACACAGTTTTATAGCCCAATCAATTTTAGTCTGATAATGTGCAATTTTCAAGTGGCTAAAAGTTACCGCTGATTTTTTAGAATTTTTTTCGCCAAGGATGTTGCGGTTTTCTTCCATATACAAATAAATTGAGTTTATTCATTGGAAGCCAATGCGACAAAAAAAGTGTAAAAAATTAACGGTAATTCGTAGCCACTTGAAATTTGCACATTATCAGACTAAAATTGCAGGGGCTAAAAAACTGTGTCCTCAAAAAAATTTTATCACTCCCGAGAAAAAAGTTTGAAATTTAGGTGAAAATTTGTTACACTTTTTTGTAGTTTTCTACAAATTGTTGAACTTGGGTATATATGGGGTTTGTCCGAGAATGAACTAAATTTTAATTGAAAATTCTTAAAAATAAAAAAATAAACATAAGTGGCACACAATATCACTTTGAAATGGCGTGCTATAGATATGACCGATACTGTATATATGTACACATTCGCGTATATTCTTACTAACAAGCATATACCTCTGTATCTATACTATTTTACATGTTCATGCGGCTTAAGCTTTTGCGATAATATTTTAGAAAATATGAGTTTTCATGTGCAAATTCAGGGAACCGCTTACTTCTTCCATCATACATATGTATGTATGCAATTAATGTGGGTAAATGTGTATCCGTCTACTTATAAAGACATACATATTTATGTACTTGTAAATACATAGATCCTTTTTTAATCAGCGCGTACACGACACATTACGCCAGGTTGGGTGGCGCAGAGACAATTGAGCGGTCGTCGGCACTGTCGTTGTGGCTGTTGTCGCTGTACAAACTCTTCTGTTCTTGCGCGTAGGCGCAACGTGTGAGTGCTATTGCAAGAGATGACATTGTTTTTGCTCTTGTGGCTGGTTTTTAGCTTTTTTTTTCTAACAGCACAAAAACGACACTTTCTTATTAAATATAGTGGCATACCCGCGTACATACATATGTAAATGTGTATACAGTGGCGGTCAAAAGTAGATGAATGGTGTTTTGTTTTTAATATTTACAATGTTTTCCAAGCAAAAATTTTTCTTGTAATTTTTTATAGAAATACGGTTCATGCTTTAAATGAAACGATATAAATCAAACGTTATGCAGAATTTAGAAATATTCATTAAATTTTAATCCAAAATTTGAGCTTTTCAATCAGAATATTTATAAAAAAGATTTTGGTTATGCAGGGCTTATGAAATTTTAGTAAAATAAGTGGAAGTTTTGAGCGGCTAAAAATTGCTTTGTATTTTAATATTTTTTTTTTTTTCTGACCCCGTTTTGCACTTTTTCCCATATAAAATGCGCAAGACCGTTTGCAAAGAGGGTTAAAAAAAATCAACACAAGTATTTATAAATTGCACTAGTTATATGTATGAAAAAAAAACGCAAAAGCCGTCAGCAAAAAAAAAAAATAATGTTTGCGATTTTTTAGAACCCTAAAACTTGGACCTGTTTTACTAAAACAACATACGCCTTGTAACTGCATACCCAAAAATTTTGTAAAAACTCTGATTGAAAAGCTCAAAATTTTAATGAAAATTTTTTGAATTTTTCGAATTCTGCATAAAGTTTAATCGTTTGATATATACGGTTTTGGTTAAAGCATGAAGCATATTTCTATAAAAAATAACAAAAAAATTTAGCTTGGAAATCATTGTAAATATCAAAAACAAAACACCATTCATCCAATTTTGACCACCAGTGTACGTCAGCATGCACAACGCTCGGCGGGACATCTACCAAACGCATTTTTCTTCATCTACGTTAGGCTATGCATTTAAAGTTTGGAGATACATATGTGCCTTCATATCCTATTAGTAAATTTCTTAGCTCAAAACTGATGCTGAGTAATGTACCTGGAAACCAGAATTATACTCGTATGTAGAAAAAAAGACGTGAATTGCGATCAAAATATTCTCTTTTTGAATCCATAGTATTACAGGTTTTATTAGTTTTCTTCCAGGAGAAAGTCTTCTTAAAAACACTATCGAATTTTGTATGCTCTTCTTAAATTTGCTAAAGATACCTTGTAATTTTCGTTAAGTTACTGAAGGGGCAGAGCTTAAAGAGATCGGAAGGCCTATCCTTCATAAAAGTTGAATTACCACCAAAGCCCAATGTTTACGAATTCCGGGACAGTGTTGCCGTTATTCGGCTTTTACTACTTGAATTGTTACCATTTTTTCCTTTTGGTTGGTAAGCAGTTTGAGGGTAGTTTTAAGAGCTTCTGTGCACATCTAGAAATCAGAACCCCAAAGTGTATGCAAAAATACTTTATCGTCCTGGTAGTGAGCACAAAAAGTAATAATAACCATACTTTGTACGAAAAAATTGTATTGTTTGTACGCTCCCCGAAGTGGCTCTTCCCTCAGTCGGAGATGTCCGCCAACAGCTCTATGACAGGTTCATGTACTTAGGCCTTATCCTGAATTGGGAGCTGTCGTGAAAGGATTGGTTAACTGGATCGAAAACCGGACACTCAGGAACTGGGGAGGGCTTTGATTTCATTCCAAATCATACAGATTACCCAGCAGCTTCTTCTCCTTACCAACACTCTCTCAGGTGGCGGGAGAAACGGAGCAGTAAAGTTTTTTACGGATTGATCTAAACTTCGAGATAGGGTTTGCGCAGGTGACCTCTGTTAGGAGATCTCTATGAAAAAAAAAACACAGGTTTAGGACTCCGGACGGCAACAGTGCCTTTAAATTAGAAATATCTCCCACCAAAGAAGAGGTAGACTCACTGCTGAAGAGTGAGACATCAGTTAGCGAGGTGCGCATATCTATACTCTGAAAGCTAGGCGGCTCTCAGGGGCCTGAACGCCATGTTGTCCCTACTGACTTGTCGGAGTATTTTCAGGTCAAAGCAATATTGCGGGTAACTGCGCGGCTGATGTCTTGGCTTGCTTTCGAAACTTTATCATCCCATAGGGAGCAGCTTCCGACACTTCTGTTCTCTTGTGCTGCGCTCTTGGCGGTTGGGACTAATGCCAGCTGAGCAAGCGCTGAGTAAAAACTAGGACATACGAAGTTGCGAGATCCTTCTGGCCTAGGTTGGATCGGGGCAGTTAAAGAAGCTCCTTGCGCTTGCATAAAGTTGAGGTTTCACTGTTGGGTGTGATTCTTGGTATTCAAGCGGTTACGTGAGGAATTAATCGAAGTAGCTGCCAGGAGGCTAATGAGATGAAATCACCTCATCACTTTCTATTAGAGAGGTTAGCCTTCGCGAGGCTAAGGTGTAAACTTTTGGCCTGACTTTTTTGACTAGCCCTGAGGACCTTTAGGGCACTGAAAGTAACCGCATTCATATTTTTGTAATCAGATCCCTGGGTATCAGGCCAACGATGTCAATATCGTCCGCACCGTGTTTGAGAAAGTCGTATGAGGCCTTGTCTGAAACGTCATTTGGCTTTGATGGGAGCATTTCACCCGATTCGGATGGAGCAGAAGGTTGTATGTATGCAATTTTACTCTACATTAGCCCTATACGGTTTTCCAGGGCTCGCAAATTTAGGCCTCGCGTGGTACAAGCAGAATTTCTCCTCTTGTTATCGAAAGCGGATTTAAAATCGACAAAAAAGTGGTGTATCTCGATTTGCTTTTCCATAGCGTTTTTCAGGATTGAAAATATCTGAGCTTAACAGGTGTGAAGCAACACTCATAAAGGTTAATAAGTTGGCCCTTGAAGAACTTCAGTATTTCACACAGTATACTTAAGCGATGACTCCCTCCTTACATTCAATTTCGAGAAGGCTTTTTTCACAATCATTTCATTGGACGAAACAACTGAATTTTCCTGCTTGAGAGGTTGGGAAAAGCTGGAATGGAATGGATTCTTTCACAACAAATTTCGCTTAATAGCCGCTACATGAGCCACTAGCTTTGACCGGGTTAAGCGGGAAGTGGGAAGTCTCCATATGAGCTGCGGCCAAAAGTATTCACCGTACTACAAATTCGCTGAACTTCGCATATGCACTATTCCGCATTTAGGAATGAAGAAATGTGGAAAATGGTCAGATTCGTGAGTCATTAAATCTACACTCTCTTCCATTTCCAGTTTATTCTGCCTATTATTTATTTAATATAGTATATATCAGAGCTCTACATTAAAAATTCAATAAAATTTACAGGATATGTGTCTATAAAAAGAAGAAAGGGATCTGAATTCGCAGTTCCTCGCAGCAGATCCTTTTTAAATAACCCTTTTTAAAGTAAGCACTCGAAAAAATTTACACTCACCAAATTATGTACAGCCTCAAGTGAAACTGTCTTATAAATTTCATTAGACATCTAAAAATTTAAAGCAATGCTTGACCCAGAAATATTCGCTTATTATATGTATATCCGCACTAGTACAAAAATTAATGTGATTACTTGCGACAAAATATATTTTTTTTAAATAAATTTTTTTTGGCTTGTATATTAGACTGGGTCGAAAAAAAAAGTTGCTAATGTCCGCCCCTAAATTTAAAGATTATGTTGAGAGGGTTCTGGAAAAATTTTTTTTTTTTTTTTTTAACCCTCCGAAATACAGCCGAAATGGTTTTTTCGTTGTAACTTGGTTATTTGACGGCCGATTTTTAAAATTGATATGTCATTATTTTTGTCTTGAGAAGCTTCACTTTTCCTTCTTATGTCTTTTTAAGCTTTGAAGTCGCGTTCGCATGATAAGGGCAGAAACAAAATTTTACCCCCCCTAAAGTATATTTTTTTCCTTACCAAACGAAAGTACTTAAAAATTCAAGAAAATGTTGCCTTCAAACTATATTACTAAAATAATAAACAAAGGAGTTATAGCACTTTTAATATCACAGGTCAACATGAGTTTCAGATGTAAGTATAATAACACAGTACAACAAAAATTGATTTTTTTTATGCAACAGAGTAACCTAAATTTAAGGATTATGTTGAGAGGATTTCGAAATTTTTATTTTATTTTTTTTTTAACCCTTCGAAATACAGCCGAAAAGGTTTTTTCGTTGAAAGTTGGGTATTTGACGGCCGATTTTTAAAATTAACATGTCATCACATTTCCTTTTAAGCTATGAAGTCGTTTACCCATGGTTAGGTCAGCTAACAAAATTCGCCCCCACAAATTCCTCCAACAGTTTTCTTAGTTGGAAATTTAATCTCACTGCTTTCGTACCAATTTAGGTACATTTTTGCTACGATTTTTCCCAAATTCATACTCTTTGTTTTCGTCGCATCAGCAACCCGGGGAGTGCAAAACTGACGCTGTCAATAGCGAGCTAACCTCTTGTAATTTAATCATGCCAATAAATTTTATAAATTGTGGAAGTCAAAGTAAATAAGTGAGTCAAACCTGTTGTTTCGTATTGATAATAATAATTTATAATTAATACCATAAATTGTGCTGGTGAAATAAAATTAAAAAGTGACTTAACAGTGTGTGCAATTTAAAAATGGCTTTCGTTAAGCGCGATATTGATATTAAAATGTTACCTACGAAACGTGGTGTTATTGAATATTTTTTGTTCCTTAAATATTACGGCTCTGCAAGTGTTCCAAAAAAAATCGAAGTCTCAATGAATATTTGCCAATAGTTATGAACACAATTTCAAAGTTGTGGCAGCAGGCAAACATCCCTATAGTTACAAGAACTACGCTCCGGAGAAACATTGAAAGCCTCCTTCAAAGTTATTACAATGTAAAAAAACATCCTTATGAATATAATGATCAGGAATGGAATAAAATATTGTTAATTTCAAAGTGTAAGTGCATTATGGACTTAAATCGACAATGTGATTGCCCTAGTGCAAGTAGAGTTCCAACCGCGGTAAATGACTTTCTTTATGATCAATGCGGGCCAAGGCTTTTGTCATTAGATAGTGGGCTTGATCATACTAGAACTGACAATTGCTCGCTAGAATGTAATGTTGAAAATCACACTGAAACCGCTGCAAGTTCGATTGGTTATGTGCCTAGCTCAAGTGAAGACGATGAAGCAAGTGAAGAAGTCACACAAAGTTTAAAAGTATCTGATTTGTCCTTAAAAAATTATTGCTCGGCGTTAGATAGGACGGATACTTCAGATCGCTTTGGATCATTGCTTGCTACAATGCTAATAAAAGATTTGCAAGCTGCGATTGCTACAAAAGTAAAAAAGGATTTTAAAGAAAACACAGCGGATAAAATTATGAAATATTTTGATTATCTGGTCATTGACAAAAATAAAATTTCACGCGAGCGTAACAAATGTAGAGCACAAACTGAAGCAGCAACAAAAACTGGCACTGATCTTAAATGCATTTCGTATGATGGTAAACAGGACGTAACACTAAAAAAAAAAAAATAGTTCACGGTAGCGTAAGAACAATGCTTCTAAGAGAGGAGCATATTACAATTTTGAAAGAGCCTGATTCGAAATTTATTGGATACGTATCTCCAAAAGAAGGCACTGGGGAAGCAATCCAGCAAGCAATAGTAAGCTTTTTGAATACCCAAAAAATATTGCTTAAACGAACTTGTAGCTATAAGCTGTGATGGTACAGCTGTCAATACTGGATATAAAATTGGAGTAAATGCACAAATGGAACGTTATTTACAAAGGCCCTTGCAGTGGAATGTGTGTTTGTTACATTTCAACGAGTTGCCTCTAAAAAAGTTGTTAACGCATTATATTGTCAAGCAGAAAGGACCTGGTGTTTGGCCAGGGGTGTTGGGGTCTGAAATTATGACTTGCACCAAATACCCGGTAGGTTGTCCACACTATAATAGTTAATGTTATAAACAAAAACATATATTTTCCTTGTCAGGTTGTAAGTGGTTTTGAGGCTATTGCTATGGGAGTTATTCCTGAAAATAGTGGCTCTTGGGAATTACGCAATGATCAGCGTTATTTATTTGATATGGTTTTGGCAGTAAATAATGGTGAATGCGATGAATATCTCGCTAGTAAGAGCCCCGGTCCCGTCAGTACAGCTCGGTGGCTTACAACAGCTTCCAGGTTACTTCGGGTATATGTTTCCAAAGAAAGCCCGTCAGCGGAGTTGCGAAACATGGTAGAGTTTGTTGTGAAAGTTTATGCACCATTCTGGTTTCTTGTAAAGAGCCAGCCACAAGCAATTCATGGAAGTAGACACGATTTTAAGTATATTTGCTGGATACGCGAACTATCAAATGCTGTTCAAGCCATTATACGTTCAGCTATAGAAAATAATGCATATTATTTTCACCCAGAAAATATATTATTAGCCATGATAACCGACGCTGATCCAGAGATACGTAATGATGGGTACGAAAAAATCAAAACAGCACGTCAATATCCACCAGCAGGGCTTCGCGTGTTCAAGGTCCCAAAGCGTGGCGTAATAAACTTTGAAAGTAAGTCGTATGTCAGCATGATCGATTGGAGTCAGTTTAAGATTACGGAACCCCCTTGTGTGCAGTTCTACCCAGATAGTGAACTTACAATGTTTCAATTTTCGGAAAATGAAGTGATAAATATCCCAGGTAAATATCTTCAAACTAAAAACTTCACGGGTCTTATAGTACCTTTAAATCATTTTTTTTTAGAGTTCCTCTGTCATTCCCAGAATACCGAACGGTTTGTGCGTGTTGTTAGTGAGTCTGCAAGTGCTGTCACTGATGAAAAGCGCCTGGGCCACATTTTTGCAAAATTAGAAAGCCGAGACCAATATAAAAGCCTTGATTCGCGCCAAAATTTGCTTAAGTAGCAATAAATATTGTAAGTGAAATAACTTTTTTGTTGATTATTTTAGTAATATAGTTTGAAGGCAACATTTTCTTGAATTTTTAAGTACTTTCGTTTGG